ACTCCAAAAAGTAAAGTGCACAACAGAAATTTGAAGAAGAATATGGAGAGACGTGAGGAGCTGAGGTTCTCAGTGCTGCCTTTTATAGGCAAATTTTTAACTGAAAACCTTGGGGGGGGGGGGGGGTTAGTCTGCCATGCATGCAGGCCCACCCCCTGCATTCCGACATGTCAAATGTCGGGGGAATGGGGACGACACACAAACTACTAGGGGAGGGAACCACTCCTAGAAGAGGCGGTTTGTATTGTCCACGTAGAACCGCTCCTAGAAGAGGCGGTTTGTTTGTCGGGCCACCATTGAACCGCACCACCAAGTGGCGGTTTGTATAAAAAACATAAAATGCCTCCTTCCCACGCCTTTCTCCATGAACCGCGACCTCAGCACGCGTTTCATATGCAAACTGCCTCATTGGGTGGCGATTTTCACATAATGGTGGTACTTTAGGAAAACTTTCGGTTTAGATGGTGATGACTTGATATATACACATGTTTTTGTCCACCATTCTTACACCGTTTGATTCTTATTTCTCGTGTTTTAGGCCGATTTCACGCTAGGTTGTTCTTGTTTGTGATATTTCAGGTCCTAGTACGTGAATGAAGGTTTGGGAACGAGTTCGAGGTCGATTGGACGAAGATTGGACATTTGGCGAGAAGCTTAGGAAGCCACACGGGCACGCCTAAAAACCCACATGGCTGTGTGACCTGGCCGTGTGGCACCAAATAGCACGGGCAAGCCACACTAGCCGTGTAAGGGACCCCTTGTGGCCGTGTGGAAAGTCCAAGGAGCTCACACGGGCAGCCTGGAAATCCACACAGCCGTGTGGTTTTGGCCGTGTAGAGTACCTGAAACCACTTAAGTGAAACGCGGCGTTTTGCAAACTCACACGGGCAGCTGGGGAAAGGGAATCTACTTTTCGGAGCAAAAACAGAGCCCTAGAGAGAGAAATTGCGAAGAACACATCCTAGAGGTGATTTTGGAGATGGGTTTCATCAATCGAGCTTGGAGATCATCATCCCAGAGCAGATTTTCCTCATCTTTCTATGGAGTAGAACTTTCTCTCACTTGGGTATGAAGAACCCTAGTTCCATGTGTTAGGAATCTTGATTGTAATGACTTGGGATTGTTATACTGTTTGATTTTAATCGATTGATGCATGATTCATTGAGTCAATTGAAGTCTAATCATCTTTTCTGGATTTCTGCTGCAACCTGAGATGGATAGAATCTGATTAGGTTGTTAGAGCTTCATCAATCGGTAGTGGTAGATTGATTATACGAGAGTTAATCTATTTACTGCTTTGTACTGGAATTCAATTCCAGCAGTGGAGTTCTGTGCTTATTGCCTCAGCAGTCTATCCCGGTAAAGGTTAGTCGTCTGCTGTTTAGCCGGCCTGAGAGGGCTTGGTCAGCTTAAGAGATTCCAAGCTACTGTCGGATCTTCCGCAGTTCAATCAACAATAAATCAACCCAGGGTAATTACAACTGACACCTAACTAAGGATCTAGGGGGACTCATTCCCGAGTCACTCTTCCCTTGCTTTAGAAAACCGAACCATTTCCTTCTTTCTTACTGCTTTTACTTAAATCAACAATCACTCGACTTAGTTTGCAAGATAACAAATATACACGGAGTAGGCAGTAGATCTAAACCCCGAGTTGACAATTAGAGCATTCCTGTTACTGCATTTCCGGACTGGATTACACTTGGTCGCAGTTTGGTGTTGTGTTTTACTGTGTCAAGCTTTTGGCCCCGTTGCCGGGGAACCTCTAGGTTATTGTAGAAACGTTAAAGTCTGTTACTGTTATGGAACAATCCAAGTACCACATCGGAAATACAAGGGAGGGAACCCTTGTATATTAGAGTCCACTTAGCCCAATTAGTACGAGGCCTTTTTGGGAGGACACCCAAAAGTAAATCCGTGCGGGCTTGGCCCAAAGCGGACAATATCGTACTAATTGAGCGCCCCGATTTCGACAAGTGGTATCAGAGCCTGGTTTGGCAGATCCGGGGCGGTGGACGTCAGTTCGGTGGACCCTCGTTAGGTGACCTCGGGGTTTGAGATCTACATCTGGTTTGGTGGATCCACGAGAGATCCACGTTTGGGCTCATCTGGCGGATCGAGGGAGGTCCGCGTTTGTCTGGTGGAGAGATCCACGTCTGTTTGGCGGATCAAAGAGAGTTCCGCGTCTGGGAAAATCCTTGTACCGAGAAGCCCATCGATACAAGGTGTCTGGCGGATCAAGATAATCGCTGAGGTGAGGACACGATGTTCGTGGTCCTTGGCTTGAGGGGAGGATTGTTATGGAACAATCCAAGTACCACATCGGAAATACAAGGGAAGGAACCCTTGTATATTAGAGTCCACTTAGCCCAATTAGTACGAGGCCTTTTGATGAGGACACCCAAGAGTAAAACCGTGCGGGCTTGGCCCAAAGCGGACAATATCGTACTAATGGGCTGCCCAGTTATGACAGTTACTTTAGCTTTTTTTCTTTCATTTTCCACCCTTGCTTTTCACTTGGGTGTTATGTTTTTGTTGGTGCAGATCTGAAACATGGATCCTCATGGATTCTCCAACCATTGGGGGTATCAACCACCATCCATGTAGTATTACCCGAGACTTCCTGGAGCAATCAAGGAGGAGAAGACTATGGATTCAGATGTCAGTACCAACCCCCGTACTACGGAGAACAACCAAACCCTTGGGAACCTCAAGAACAATATCCTTTTCAAGAAGAGTTCTTGCCACAACCAGAGGGGCCATCTGAGTTGGAGTTAGCCATGGAGGCCTTCACGGGCCACTCTACATAGTCATGTTACACTTCACTGGAAGATCCGAACAAACAATTAAGACCTCTCGTGTAGCAGTTTGCTCGAGACACTGAGAGATCATGCTCCAAGATGGATCTTCAAATCCAAGCCCTTGCCCCTTCCGATCCCCCATTTCTCCATGAAATGGAGGAGACTGTTCAGTGCTCAGTGAAGCAAACAGAGTGGGTGGAGCAAGTTTGCTCACATCCTGCTCAAGATCACCTTTCTGCTACCACGCTATAAGAGGTGGAGGATGACAAAGGCTACGGGGACGTTGAGGAGCATACAGAAGTTATCACAGAGAACTCCCATGATAATCACGATCAGGAAAGTACTTTGGTTGTAGATCACACCTTTCCTCATTTCTGCCCTAACATTATGGGCCCGTGCGAGGAGATGCAAGATGATCCCATTGAAGAAATTGCTTGGCGACTTGCTCTCCAATCTGTTCGGGAAGAAGAAGAGAGAGCAAGGGTGAGGAAAGAAGTTGTGGTGGACGAGGAAGAAATCAAAGAAGAGGTAGTTCTTGATCTTTTCCAATGAGAGAAACCACATTCTGATGAAGGAAAGGGGGTTGAAGAAGCAACTGGCGTCCAGGCTAAGGATGAAGTTGAGGTTAAAGAGGCTTGCACAGGCCATGAGTTACATGTGATATCTCCACCAAACTTTGAGGAGCTGCTTGGAAAGGACCCATTAGCAGTGTCTCTTTGCCAGACCAAGGCCACATCAACATCGGTAACTCTTGGTGGACGCGATGGTGGTCGGTCGATGCTGTCATATCTGGTTTGGGGCAATGAGACGAGTGAGGAAGAAAAGAAGAGGTCTCGCGGGTGGAGACTTCATAATCATCAAGTACACGAGCTTACATCACCTGTCTTACCACCTGCTTGTGACTTGAGACTCCACATTATCGACGAGAACCTCAACTTCAAGGAGGTTCTAGCATTGACCAAAACTTAGGAGTCACCGTCGGGCTCACGACGGTAAAGAAGCGCTTGTGGGGAGGAAACCCCACCAAGGTTTGTTTTTCTTTCGTTTGTTTTTCGGTTTGTTCACTTTGAACTATGGTTTCTATCACGCAGTCTGTTTTGCTGATGCTAGCCCCGCTGACTGGTCCACTTCCAGTCCCCCGACAGTCTTTCCATCCGGTAACATCGTTCCCCTTATCTTTCCCTCTGCTCCATTGAGGGCAATGTCATGCTTAAGTGTGGGGGTGCTTTGTATGAGTTGGAATCTATATATGTGTGCTTGGAGCCTAGTCCGCTGTCCAAATCTCGAGATTTGAGGGCTCCAAGTATCGTTGTTTGCATGATCATATTGGCACTGTGATTTGATTGGTGAATCGAATGGTTTTCGTATTATTGCATGACAACTTGATTGTAACTAGGACAACCTATGATGACGACTGAGACGTGCAGTAGAATTGTGTAGGGGTTTAGTTTTTTCAACTGTTTGCTTATCAACTGTGATTTGGATTGATCACTTGCTCTTGACAGTCGTTTATGCATCTAGTTCAGGGAATCAGAATGAGAGATAGAGCATATACGAAAAACCTAAAAAGTATCGTGGTGCAAAATACTCATATTAGGGTTTAATAACTAAAGAAAGGAAACTCGGTACAATGAGAAGGGAGGTCCATACCATATGCATAGGAGAAGAAATAGATGTGGAAGACCAGAAAATAGAGCAAGAAAAAGCGAGGGAAAAACTTCATTGATAGAGGCGTGCGGACACTGCAAAAAGAAAAAGGCCCATAACTTCTCATTTGACATGCAAGAATTTCTAGAAGATAGTAAATAATACTCACTTGCCCATTGCCAGCTTGAGCTTTTTACAGAGTTGAAGTTCCAAGAATGATGGAAGACATTTGATTCAAGAATTTCTAGAAGATAGTAAGTAATATTCAAGGAAAATGGAACATTTGATTCACAATGCAATCACGACTTTAACATAGGCTAAATGGCAGCAATATATTTGAAATATAAATTAAAATGATAATAATAATAATAATAATAATAATAATAAGGGTACTTTATTCTTCAAGACCTTATAAGTGTGAAGAGTTCACACAACCAAACTAGAATGAAGACCATGAAAGCCAATAGTTGATCATCATAGAACTCAAACAGAAAAACAGGATCCCAATAATTATCTGCAAATAAAATAAAACAAATAAATGGTAGTAAAATGTTATGTTACTAGCTGAATAGTGAAAAAATTAGACAAACAGTAGTCTACAGGAACCACCAAGCCAACAAGCAGCTTAACGGTTTCATCAATCATCATGTGTGACCTTACCGGTACAAAGACAAGGGACTCAATCACATGGACAAAGATCAGCTGAAATGTTGGCAAGCGACGCCGAGCATGGTGTTGAAGCGGCACTGAATGATTTTAACAAGATAAAAGTTGGAAAAAATAAAAGAAACAGTAAAGCCAACCATATTCTAATAGGAAAGGAAGGAAACACGGGAGCACTGACATCTGAAGGAATGCCAAGTCCGACGAGTAACCAACAAACAGAGCACAAATTAAACTATATGTAGGAAGATAGCATGACAACTTGCTCGCCAGATTCAGAAGGATTAAAACACGAACCTGTAAATCTCAGCATCCGTGTCTGTGTCTCTCTCGATGTGAAGGATAAAGACATTGTTGTGGTAAAGAACACAAACAGCGACATCATAAGCACGCCACACTTGGTGACCAGATAGTCTACATGCAGAAACAGAGATGTTCCCCAAAAAATGAAAAAAGATCAATAATAGTTCATAGGGCATGGCTTATAAATATAATCAAGAACTCGAGAGACATGAAGATGAAGAACAGGTGACCGCCACGTCACCACTGGTCAAGACGTCGATCGTCAATCAGGACAGGGCAGTCCCAGTCGGGGAGCAGATCTGGTGAGTAACTCCATGCATAACCCAATAAGAATTTGCCACATCAGCGCCTCCTTCTCTCTCCTGGAAAAATCATTAATTTTCTTTCCCTTAATCTTTAACAGACGATTTCTCACTCGTTTTAACTCGGAATTTAATTTTTTTTGCACAGTTAGATCAGATTAATTGTGCTCTTCAAAATGATATCCACTTTGATATTTTTTTGAACAAAAAAAATTTGTCAGTTATTACTTGTCAATACTATATGGTATTCACTTGTATTAAATAACAGCATACCATATGGTATGAAAAATACCATCTCATCCCAGGGTGGTATAGTATGGTATAGAGTTGGTAACGATTCAAAATGATATCCACTTTGATATTTTTTGGAACAAAAAAAATTTGCCAGTTATTACCAGTCAATACCATATGGTATTGACTGGTATTAAATAACAGCATACCATATGGTATGAAAAATACCACCTCATACCAGGGTGGTATAGTATGGTATGGAGTTTGTAACGAGAGGTACGAAATTTTTCCCCCAGAAAATTTTGAAATCCAATAGATCATGATTAAATCGTTCCTTTTGTGCAAAAATTTCCGAAAATGACTAAACAACGAAGGAGATACCATATGGTATGAAGTTGGTAACGAGAGGGATGAAATTTTTTTTCTCAAAAGAATATTGAAAATGGATATCATTTTGTAGAGCACAACGAACTCGTTCCATCTGTGCAAAAAAAAAAATTGAAATCCTAGTTAGAATGAAGAAGATATGATCCAATTAAGAAAACTAGGGAAAATAAATTCCTTTAATTATCCACCCTTAGATCTACAGCCACTTAAAAGAAGAGTCCAGATTTGGTTACTCATTGTTACTCACCCTAAGGTTACTCACCCTATCTTGAGCCTCCCAGTCGAGTCCCAATTCATTTCCACGAAAGAGTCGTCGGGTTGCGCTGGTTAGCATCGAACTCGAGAGATCCTATTGCGGCGAGGAAAGAGAAGCCGGAGGTGGAGGTGGATACTGTCTTCGAAAGAGGACGCGAGGTCGCGGCGGTGTTTGAGCCAAGCAGAGCAGCGGCAGCTGCATCAGGAGGCACTGCGACGCCCAGGCAGCAGACAGAAGCCGCAGCGGCGGAAGGAGGTAGCGACGTCGAGTGCTGAGTAGAGGGAGCTCTCACAGCCAGTGAGGAAGACGACGATGGCGGAAATCAAGCAGACTCCGTGATCTGCTCTAGTCACGGCGACGAGGGACGAGAGGCGGGATGCGTCGGAGCTCCGAAGCGGGTGCAGAACCAGTGATTAGCTACAGCTCCCGTCGCGAACCCGGGAGGAGAAGAAGCGAAAGCGAGGGCGGAGCAGGTGGAGGACTCGTCGACGGCCAGGGAAATGAAGGCTAAGACGAGACCAGAGTTGGGTTCCGCTGCCCGCTGCCTGGTGCTCTGCTTGCCGCCGGTTGAAGAACAGAAGGATTTGACGACGGAAGGAATGAAGATGGAGGTCGACGACTCTCCTTCCTCAAGCCCTAGGTCGTGTTTCCCATTAGGCCGAGTTGTGGTTCAGGTCACTGGGCCCAACGAGCCAGAACTAGTTCGTGGGCCGTTCTTTGGTGGGCCATTTTTAGACTCGAGGGAAGCTTTGGTACAAAGATCAAGGCCTGGAGACGGGCCAAAATGTGGAAATAATTGGGCTAAGAAAGTGTCAACGTTTGGGCCGAAGAATGGTGGTCTTATTAGATCTCTTCTCTATGGTGTTAGGCCGGAGTTAATGGACCCATTTGCTGAGATAAAATCGGTCGGGCTTCTTTTGGACAAGCTGAAGGAGGCCGATTCTGGGCAAGTTGACGACCCAACATTTGAGGAAACTGGGCCACGACTGCATGGAGAAAGTGAGCCCAATGCAAGCTGTATTTTAAAGAATGCGAGCTTGGAAGAAGATGGGTTTATTGGGTTTGCAAAAAGCCCAATTGAGAGTGAAGTTGCATGGGCTATCGACATAGAGTATGAAGTTTTTGACAGATTGATGGATTCTTGTACAAGAAAGAAGCGAGTAGTGGGCCCATGAAAGTGAAATTTGAAAAGTTGGGTCCACACGAGAAGAGTAGTGCAAAAAGTATAAGTGAAGAGTTAGAGCATGATTGGAAGAAAAGAAAGCGCAAGGAGTGGAGGAGACAAAGCGCGAATTGCGCTGGAGATGTGAAGAAATGGGTCGAGTTGGTCAACCTTGAGATTTATCATAATAATTATTATTACTATAATTAGGATATTATTAGATATGGAAGTAGTCATTGAGTCATATTAGGATAGTCTATTAGGTTTTTCAAGTATTTCATTATAAATATGTACTTAGCATTTTATTCAGGAGGTGTAAAGAATAATATTAAGAAAAGCCTTCCAAACCCTAATCTCCCTATCCTCTCAATTCTTGTTCTCAAACCCTTTAAAGGCCTAGGCCGATTCTCTATCCTTCTCTTCTCAAATCCCTAATTCCGTTCTTTAATCCCTAAATCCCAATTCCACAACCTTACCGATAGAATCCTAGAAACAGGTTCTATCAAAAGAAAACGCATTTTCTGCTGGAACCTAGACGAATCTATTACCAGGAGCTATAAGGATGAAAAGGTTTAAGACTGTTACCGAAGAGGAAAAAGAGACTACATCGTCTATAAACTCAAAATAAAGAATATAAACAATTATTTCGAGGGTGGGAGGAATCATCTAAGCTTGGATCATTAATTAAATGTGGAGCAGCAATTTACCTGCATGTGTATTAGCCCATTTGGGAACATCAAGGTTTAACGAGATGCCCGTAATATTCTGCACTAAAAATTTCAGATCATGGAACACATACTGACATACTCAATAATATGATTGAAAAAACAAGATAGAATAAAGTAAGGCACGGATATGGCCTATTCTAACTATCACTAGAAGAGATAGCTATTTCCCAAGGAGTAATATATGTTGACTATGCATGAATAGAATTGTCAAATTTGCTCAACATGGTGTGCCCAAGAGTGGCCAATCTTGAGTGTGCAGGAAAAGACTCATCAAATTCTTTCAACATTAGCTTAACCCAGGCGGATGGATACCCCTAAAATTTGGGAATACAATTATTCAACCTCTGGTAATAGTTTTGTATGGATAAAAAATTATAATTAGTGATTCAAGACACCTCTACAATGATAATCCCATCTTCAGTAGTAGTTTGCGTATACTTAAAAAAAAGGGCTAATACCACTGGAAATACCATTCTTTAGCGAAAGTGCCATTTATATTACGTACTTTTCGATATGTCATTTGTATACCAAATCGTTTCCTCCGTTAAGTTTTCCGTTAGAAATTGACAGAAAACACAGTCAGCATACACGTGGCAGCTGACATGGAAAATTTACTAAAAATTCATTTATTAAAAAAAATCGGCTATTCCTCTTCCCCACTGCGCCTGCTTGTATCATCCTCGTGCGACTTTTCATCCCCTCCCGGGGACTTCCCTCCCCCGGCACCACCAATCGCCTCCTCTGCCCTTTCTCCTTCACTGCTTCATCCCTCTTCGCCGCTCCACTGCTTCATCCCTCTGGTTTGTATTTGTGGCTACAATAGCTCCCCTCTTCCAGTTCGCCGTCTCTCATCCCGCCTCCTTCAACAAATTCCCAATTCCTTTTCCTCCATCGCCAACCTCCGCTCGCTCTAGATTTTTGGAGCAACGAGGAAGCTATGAAAGGAAGCTCTTTAGAAGCTTTTGAAGGCGGAACTTCCCTCGACGTCGGCCGAATCGGGGAAAATCCGGTCAATTAATTTAGGGATTCGAAACCAGGTTCACCCCATGCCGAAAGATTTAGGTGTTTCAAATAGGGGAAAACCAGGTCCCTTTGGAGGATTTTCCTAGATCAGGGGTTTCTTTACTCCAACTCATATTCGTTCTTGAGTGATTTGTACAGATAAGGTGGGGGAAATGGAATAGGGGAGCAATTGCAGGTAGAAAAGCGGCAGCTCAGTCGATGACGACGTCGATGGCCGGTTGCAATCCTTGGCGGAGGACGCATCGGAGGAGAAAGGCGTGGCCTTTCTGATGAGTTTGATTGAATCTTGAGTGAGTGCGCCACTAGTTTTTGATTAAGGGAGATCGACCGTCGGGGTTGCCGACGGAGCTGTCGAGATCTTGCGGCGACAACATATTTGTTTTGTTTTCCGACTAGGTGGAGGCGACGACTGCTTTTTCCTTTTAATTATAATTTTTTTATTTAATGGGAATATTTAATGGATTATTTAATAGTAATATCATATGTGGCGCATACATGTACGCCACATAAGCTCCACATAATCAATAGTCAAACATAGGTTGACCATCGTTAGGTCAACCGTCAATTCTAACAGTCAACAGAAATACGCGTAACACAAATGACGCGAACCCCTAATACGTTGGAATATTTTTGTGTTTATTGAAAGTACGTAATATAAATGGCACTTTCGCTAAAGGATGGTATTTCCGGTGGTATTAGCCCATAAGCGATAGTTTGTGTTATTCAAACTTAAGATATACTATATTTTTTTAAACATTGTCCTTCATTAAGTTGCAACTCATTTGTTGTTCTATTGTCTAGTAGGATATACAGATTTGTTGAGCGATTTACCAAGCCTATTTGTTATTCTTTTTCAGAATATAAATACACGTCGTGGCTTTATGTTAAAATTTGTACTAGTCCGATATTTTCTTATTTATGAATTACTTTTTTTTTAATATTATTTTAAGAGGACACCCT